ACGACAGCAATTCGTTGTGGTAGAACAATCCAGTTAAAATTAAAATTCGTAAATATATAATGTACTGTTTTGTTATTTTTCAGGTTGGAAGTGCAATGGTTTAATAAAACTTCATTCTATAGCGATATTTTGTATATTGCCCTTGTTGATGAACCAACAGTTAGCTGCACAACATTGGGTTTCAAAGTTAAAGATTGGAAATTTTGTGCGAAAAATAAAAGTCCTAAAGATTGTTTGAAGACTTGCGGTTTGGCAACAGGTGGCTCATCAAGTGTAGATAGAAGGTACCTACTTTTATATAAATTAAAATGATATGGGAAATACATGCAAAAGTACATGCAACACTTAAAAAATGGATTTTCAATCTGTATTTTAACTTACGATAGGTTTCTTTAATTTGGCACTTACTGAAACCTACAATGAAAACATGTGCTGATAGGTACTAGTTTTATGATAAAAATTCACTTATAAATAAATAAATAGGGGAATTGCCTTAAATGTGCAGATTTTATAGATATCATGATAGAAACCTGCGATTGCCTGCTGAAATATTAACGTAATGTTTTAAAATTAAGATTATTATTTTCAATAACTAATACCTGAATTCAAGTCTAGATTTTATATATAAGGGTGATTGTAGTTAATATGAATTCGAAAGAAATAACATGTTAAGGCAAAATACCTTTCAAATTTCAAAAGTTATTATTACATCATAAACTACCATCGAGATGGTTCTCATTGAAGTCAAAGATTTAAAAACAGAAAAAGCATTTTTATCAACACGTTAACTGGATTTGTTGCCAAATCCAGGTAAAATACCTTTCAAATTTCAAAAGTTATTATTGCATCATAAACTACCATCGAGAGGGTTCTCATTGAAGTCAAACATTTAAAAACAGAAAGTGCATTTTTATCAACACGTTAACTGGATTTGTTGCCAAATCCAGGTAAAATACCTTTCAAATTTCAAAAGTTATTATTGCATCATAAACTACCATCGAGAGGGTTCTCATTGAAGTCAAACATTTAAAAACAGAAAGTGCATTTTTATCAACACGTTAACTGGATTTGTTGCCAAATCCAGGTAAAATACCTTTCAAATTTCAAAAGTTATTATTGCATCATAAACTACCATCGAGAGGGTTCTCATTGAAGTCAAACATTTAAAAACAGAAAGTGCATTTTTATCAACACGTTAACTGGATTTGTTGCCAAATCCAGGTAAAATACCTTTCAAATTTCAAAAGTGATTACTACATCATAAACTACCATTGAGAGGGTTCTCATTAAAGTCAAAGATTTAAAAACAGAAAAAGCATTTTTATCAACACGTTAACTGGATTTGTTGCCAAATCCAGGTAAAATACCTTTCAAATTTCAAAAGTTATTATTACATCATAAACTACCATCGAGAGGGTTCTCATTGAAGTCAAAGATTTAAAAACAGAAAGTGCATTTTTATCAACACGTTAATTGGATTTGTTGCCAAATCCAGGCAAAATGCCTTTCAAATTTCAAAAGTTATTATTACATCATAAACTACCATTGAGAGGGTTCTCATTGAAGTCAAAAATTTAAACACATAATGTGCATTTTTATCAACACGTTAATTGGATTTGTTGCCAAATCCAGACAAAATACCTTTCAAATTTCAAAAGTTATTGTTACATCATAAGCTACCATTGAGAGGGTTCTCATTGAAGTCAAAGATTTAAAAACAGAAAGTGCATTTTTATCAACACGTTAATTGGATTTGTTGCCAAATCCAGGCAAAATACCTTTCAAATTTCAAAAGTTATTGTTACATCATAAACTACCATTGAGAGGGTTCTCATTGAAGTCAAAAATTTAAACACAGAAAGTGCATTTTTATCAACACGTTAATTGGATTTGTTGCCAAATCCAGACAAAATACCTTTCAAATTTCAAAAGTTATTATTACATCATAAACTACCATTGAGAGGGTTCTCGTTGAAGTCAAAAATTTAAACACAGAAAGTGCATCTTTATCAACACATTAATTGGATTTGTTGCCAAATCCAGGCAAAATACCTTTCAAATTTCAATAGTTATTGTTACATCATAAACTACCATTGAGAGGGTTCTCATTGAAGTCAAAGATTAAAAAACAGAAAGTGCATTTTTATCAACACGTTAACTGGGTTTTTTGCCAAATCCAGGTAAAATACCTTTCAAATTTCAAAAGTTATTATTGCATCATAAACTACCATCGAGAGGGTTCTCATTGAAGTCAAACATTTAAAAACAGAAAGTGCATTTTTATCAACACGTTAACTGGATTTGTTGCCAAATCCAGGCAAAATACCTTTCAAATTTCAAAAGTGATTACTACATCATAAACTACCATTGAGAGGGTTCTCATTAAAGTCAAAGATTTAAAAACAGAAAAAGCATTTTTATCAACACGTTAACTGGATTTGTTGCCAAATCCAGGTAAAATACCTTTCAAATTTCAAAAGTTATTATTGCATCATAAACTACCATCGAGAGGGTTCTCATTGAAGTCAAACATTTAAAAACAGAAAGTGCATTTTTATCAACACGTTAACTAAATTTGTTGCCAAATTCAGGCAAAATTCCTTTTAAATTTCAAAAGTTATTCTTACATCATAGACTATCATTGAGAGGGTTCTCATTGAAGTCAAAGATTTAAAAACAGAAAGTGCATTTTTATCAACACGTTAATTGGATTTGTTGCCAAATCCAGGTAAAATGCCTTTCAAATTTCAAAAGTTATTCTTACATCATATACTACCATTAAGAGGGTTCTCATTAAGATCAGAGCAATAGGCATTTAAATAAACTGTATAGGCACCATAATGGCTATCTCTAAAACAAACTGAGCCTTAAAATTTTGATAGAGCCTGGTATGGTTCTGAAAGGTGCATGTGGAGGGGGGATAAAGTGCCTGGAACAACTTCTACTAGCTTATACTCCACTTGCACCCCTGACATTAAGACATGTCCCGATGGAATTTGTGACGAATTGGAGTCGCTACATTCCCTCATTTGCCCACAAGACTGCTCAGGTATTAAAAATAATGTGTTGATGCTTTTTATAAAATAGTTATATGCAGAATCAAATTTTATCGCACTTGTATATTATCATTACATGGTTTATAATTTAGAGGACATTTTGATACCTTCCAAAAAGAACCCTAAAACACATAGAGGATTGGAAGTGGGAGAAGGTGTTTGTTTTTGTACAAGAACTGGGCAGTGCTCTTGCATTGATCCTCCTGACGAGAAAAAGAGAAGGAAGAGTTTGTCAAATGAAACTGCTCCTACTGCACTAGACTTTACCGTTCAAAATGCTTCAGCATTCCTTCCAAAGGTTTCACAGAACAGAAGTTTGGCAGGTAATGTAATTATTTCTTTATTGAACGGATTAAACATCTTATAATAGATACACATTTACGCAAATGCTAATCTTCATTTACTTAAAAATTTCTTTATTAGTGACTACTAATCAAATATTATACATGAGGTCTGTTTAAAAAGTATCGCGAATTTTGAATTTCCGCGGGTTACGTATATTCCATTTTCAATTTTTTTTGTGGTGTTATGTTGGTAAAGTTTAAATTGAAGTTTTATAAATAAAAATAATATGTTAAATAGATAATTTATAAAACAAAAACATTTATAATAACTGTTCCGTTCACTGTGTGGACCAACAATTACTGGATTAAAGTATTTTGGAATTTAAAAATATTTATGTTGGCCAGGGTTTAGCATTCTTTTCGTAACACAACTCAACATTTAGTTGATAAATTAATTTTGTGAATATTTTAAACACATTTTAGCGAGTTACGGCGCAGGTTGTGGTACACCGTGCATTTTTGGGATATTTTTGGCATTGATGTTTCTTAGTCTGTCCATCGGGATCGTGGTTTACTGCTGGAGAAACAACTATAAAAGAAAATTTAAGCGGAATAGATCGGAAGCTGATTCTCAAAATTTGTCTGTCCCTGTGATATCTGAACATTTGGAACATCAAGACAGTCATCTTCTTAATCTTGACTTTACTTCCGATATTGCTGCTGATCTTGCCGCAAATAACAGAAACATTGAGGTGAGTAGTATATTAATATACAGTATATATTGTATTTATTTATTATATTTTGGAAGCATCTTTTACTTTTTTGGTAGATATACTTACAATAACCCGCAAAAAGGTAACGCTCATTGAGAATACCTCAATGGTGGTGTGGAAATTCACCATAATAAATTTAAAATTATCCAGATGATGTTCATTTGCAGACTAATGTTTGCGTAACTTACATTTTTTCTTTCCTTTGTGTTCGCACATTTGCATCGTTCAGCCTGCAATGTACTTCTTTAATTTATTAAATCTAAACATAATGTATAGCAGAGCCGGGCAAACTTTAACTTCGTAGGAGCCGCTATCTGAGGTTAGTTTGAGTCACTCTATACCCTTCAATGAATACGAGAGAGTAAGCAGTAATGACCCTTATTGTTTTCTCTTTTTCTTCTCCCTTCCACTCCCATATCAAGTCCCTTCATCCCGTAGACGAGCGAAGCCTCTCACGCAACTTAAGAAATACCTACGAAAATTTTCGTTACTACGTTCGCAAAATTATTGGGTTTGACTATGGAAGAGGGGACTCACCTACGAAATGGAAGGGATAAGAAAAGGAAAGAATCAACTCACTCGCACTCGCAGGAGCAATGAGGAACTCCTTGGCTATACCTGAGGAGCACTAGGGAGTCAAAAGAGCTGAGTTTGCCCGGCTCTGATGTATAGGACGAAATTGTTTATGTTTATCTTAGACGTTCGATAATCAGTAATGTTTACATTCTCCATCCATGGAGTTTTTATCGCACTACGCTATTCGGTAGACAACTATGTTGCCAATTCACCTAGAGGATTAATATTGTGATTTTCTTAAAAAAAACTTTGCCCTTAACCACACGCTGCTGCTACTTTTTATTGCATGCAGTTGACTCTCTCCAAAACTCGGCATTTATTTTCGTTACACCCAGTATAACTATTCACTGATAAGGGATTTCAATATCGACCATTAAATTTATAGGATATCATTTTTATAATGTGCTACATTCTCTTTTTATTATTTTACATGTTAAAAGCTTACGTATTTTTAGAAATATATGTAGTATGTGTATGTATTTACTTTTTTGTTTAGTGGTAGATAAACTTTTCATGCCGAAATATAGAAAAAAGAACACTTTTATAACGTCTCTATCATATTCCGCTTGACGCAAATAAAATATCCAGTTACTTTATAATGATATTGTTGAGGATCAAGAATAACCATCAATTTTCGTTTCTTGTCTCAGCTGTGTGAATCGCAGTGCTATTATCACTCTAGGAACGTTTACAATTACGACGTGAAACGTAATACATTTGTTTCAGGTTGATCCAGAATGGGAATTTCCGCGAGATAAGCTTATCATTGAGCAGGTCCTCGGGGAAGGTGAATTTGGAAGGGTTTTGCGAGCTAAGGCGTTGAATATCGCCGGAAATGTAGGTAAGCGTTTGTGTAAAGATACATACACAAAGTGTTTAAATTTATTTAAAGTGTTTCTATTAAAACTGTTTGTGCTCTCAAGTGCTATTATTCTTCTAACTGTCTTTTATTTTAAAGGCGAGAGTTAGGACTAACACAACAAAGTGTAATTTTGGTATCGCATCAGCAGAATTACCTAATAAAATTCAACAAACAAAAACATACAACAGTTTACAGTTTCTATTCTTGTTACTTCTTGTAGATATCTTTGTTATATCTAATGTGGGTACCGGTATTACAAAGGCAAAAAATTTATGAGTTTATTATCGTGGATAATCTCAAGAACTGCTTAACAGTTTTAAAAAAAGTTTTCACTTTTTAGTAGATAAGTCATTCCTTTACGATAAAGGCAAGTCAACCCGCCAAATTGTGAAATTAGAAACATATCAAAAATAGAAAAGGTTTAAAAAGAGGCAAAGGAAGACCTAAAGATTATATCAATGTTCGCAAACAGTTTTGGATGTTCATGTTTTCGGAAAGTGGGGAGATTGACTACGGCTGCGATCAGCGTTGCCAACCTGTACGATAATTCATTTATTTTTTGGTTATTTTATGCGCCCACGTCACCCCCTTATTACCCAGGTTCGAGCGATCGGTTAGTTAAGTTGGGTGCGATCGCTTGACTATTGGGATCCGTCAAATGGGAGGAGCCTAAAAACATGGCGCCGATTAGGGAAAATTTATCGTAGTTCCTATAGCGTACCGTGCAAGTTTTTAAATTACGATAAAATGATAAGTATTGACACAATATGTGATTCGGTTGACATAAAGCCTCGGAAAGGAAATTTCGTTGAAGGTGAGCGTGTTTTTAATGCCAATCACATTATAAAATTCGGAAATAACAAATCTGGAAGCTAGCCTTCAAATTCCGTCAAGTTTACTGCCTACTTTTTACAAACTTCGGATTTAAAAAGTGATTCACGTTATATCTATAATTGGTGAGGTGATTCTGGGTGATTTAAGCAATATCATATCAATAGCTTGCACGTGCAAATCCGATTTAAGAGAACGTTGCAAACACATTATTGCAACTTTGTTGTATTGCAGCAGGTAGGTTCTTAACCTCAAAATACTTATATCGTATCATTAGAATTGTGTTAAATCAATTACACAGGAATAAATAATTTCTCACTTTATAATTTTAGTATGATTCTAGTTTTAAATATTAAGGTTATGGCTGATGGTAAATACTTGCTGAAATATAATCATGTGCATTAAAATGACGTGAAGAAATTTTTATTCCAGAATTCACTTCCTTGATACCTACTGCTTTCATCCAAGCTTCTATTAATTTACTTTTTTCTCTAATTTTCTGAATATACTTTTTACATATATAAAACGGTTAGTTTTTATTGGAAAGTAGTTAATGTAGGTGAAGAGTGAAGATATATGTCTGAAGTGCTATTGCAGCTTTTCACTGAACATATTAACTTTTCATTTGATTTAACTTTAGAAGAAAACTTCGTCGACTCCATCATCAAAAAAAGCTTTACTTTTTTAACGTGTTTTATTATTTTAATAAACAATTTTACAATTTGCGTGCACAGTTCCTATGTAAATTTTTCCCTCATTCGAGTTATAAATTTTGCCACCAGATGGTGTATGCCCATTTGACGGATCCCAATAGCACATGTACTTTTTTTACAATTTTGAATTAAGTTAATTTAAGTTAAGCTATAAAGAGTCGTCTTTCAAGTCAATAAATTCACAGAAGAGTTTACAGCCTTCAGCATTCATTTTGTACCCAAAACATTACCTTTGTTTTGATCCACATTAACAGGAAAGACTTCCCTATTTCTATTTACCTATTTACTAAATAAAATCCAATCGTACAGTTCTCTAGTAGCTTTAATTTTTGAACCTTCTTAAGCGACATTCTGGAATTGACTGGCGTTATTGCATAAATTCGTGATATACCCATCCGTCCGCGTCAGGTCCTCACTGATAACTTCATCGCTACCAGCATCGCTTCACTATAATTCCAGATTAGATGGATAGGAGGTGCGTGTAGACCAGTCGTCTGACTTATGACATTCTGGAGATAATAGTGAATCATACACTTAATAAAACGCAAATTTATCAATCTTATTAGATCATCTGCTACTTAACTTTTAGAAAAATTTACACGTTCACGAGTTTGAATAACCAAAAACTAGCATATCTGGCTATCCGCCGTAATTTGTATTGGTATTGAACTAACCATCGCATTTGAAGTCCTTCCAGAAACTGTACTATATCTACGTTATGTTATTTTTAGCCACAACTAGATAAAAAACATTTAAACTCTTTTTTGCAGAAACTGAAAAAAAAATACAGATGCCAGTAACTCGTTTAAAAATGTTTTCCTTTTAGGGTACACTACTGTTGCTGTCAAAACTCTTAAAGATGATGCGGGAGAACGAGAACTGTTGGATCTTCTTTCGGAATATCGACTTTTAAAAGAAGTATCTCATCCTAACGTTATAAGACTTCTTGGTGCTTCTACTTCCCCCGGAGGTCCAGTTTACTTAATAATTGAATTCGCAGAATATGGTTCATTACGGTACGTTCTTACATATATGATATAATATTGCGATTAGAAGTAGCTTTTTTATTTTTTTTATTCCATAAATAAAAGGACAAGTAACATTTTCGTTTTGGTAGTAGATACTAGGACTGGGCCATTACTGATTGTGAGAAAAGAGTCGATTATTGCCATTAATCAAATAAATAATGTTTTTAAAAACTGAAAATAATCGATTATAATCGAAATTGGTTAATAGATGATTTGTCCAGCCCAAACAGATACATCCCCAGTATTTTTCACTGTAATTACTTAATTTGATCTGATTTATTTGTATTTAGTCATCATCACCATAAGGTCGTCAGTCCTAAGACTGGTTGGACACACACCTCCACTCTTTCCTATCCTGAGCTAAAACTAGAACAGCCCACATCCTTAACTATTTGCGAATAGTAATCTAATCTAGGTCTACCTCTACCCCTCCTAACTCCTGTTTCTGCCTTTAATATGTCTCTGACTCGAGCTTCATGCTTGAGAAGGTGTCCTACCAACCTATCTCACCTATTTCTTATTGACTTCCATATAGTCCTCTGTTCTCCTATTCTTTCCAATACCTCTTCATTTCTAACCTTTTCTACCCACGTTATCCTCATCATCCGCCTATAACACCACATTTCGAACGCTTCTAACCTTTTCTTTTCCGCCGCGCCCACTGTCCATGTTTCGCACCCGTACAATCCCGTACCTTAAACATACACCTTTAACAACCATTTTCGAATTTCTAAATTAACCGTTCGCGAGCATAGAAGTGTCTTCTTTTTATTAAAGGCGATACGACCGTGCACTATCCTCTGCTTTATATATCTCTACTACTCCTTCCGTCCTGACTTATCTGACTTCCTAGAAATCTATAATCAGCCACTTCTTCTAATTTTTCGTCTCCTATCTTTATATTCGCTCTTTCCCTACTTTTTCTTCCCTTGCATACCAGTATTTTAGTTTTACTTTTATTTATTTTCATACAGTACTGATCTGTCAGTACCGCTTCCATTTTATTTAAAGCTATCTCTAGGTCCTCCTTTTACTAGATGCTAATACTGCTATATCATCTTCAAATCTAAGCATACCAATGTTTTGCCCTTGCACATCTATCCCTACAGTTGTACTGTCTTTAATGAGTATTTAGTGTAATGGGTACAAAATTATGAATTCTGTTAATTTAAAATTCGAAATTGATTTCGACGTATCGTAAATAAAAATATACTAATCACATAATTTGAAAAAATTTCAGGACGTATTTAAGAAAATGTCGACAAATTAAGTCGGAGCCCAACATTCGGTGCAGCACCGGGGAGCAGTGGACTCCGACAGTACAATATGATGAGCCTAAGGTATTCACAGTCTCTGCTCGTGATATTATCTCATTTGCGTGGCAAATTGCAAAGGGAATGGCTTATCTAAGCGATATGAAGGTAAAAATTCTAATTTCTACTAATAAATGACATATACCTACACGGTGTTCCGTTTAAATTTCATGAACTTAAAGGTTCAAATAATTCGATGAGACTCTTTATTAATATGAGGTTTGGTTGGATTGATTCCCATACGCAGGTGAAAGTTTATTTCAAAACTCTAAATGTAAAACTGCGCTCCATTACTTTTTTTTGCATTTAAATGCAACTGTGAATGAAGCGAGATAAATTAAAATAAAGTATAAGTAAATCACAATTTCTATACTTCTATACTGTTCTATAATCTGATCTCAGTGGCGGTTTTTAATATAGATTTTTTTATATCTTCTACGCCCATAGAACAATGGCATTCGTTTAAATTTTCAATGTAAAATTAATCTTTTCTTTCATCGCATGAAAAGTACATGTTCGTTTATGTCAATGCGATAATTTCTTACATTTTCGTTAGGTACGTTTTCTGATTTAACTTAAGTACTTGTCAAGTACGGCTCAGCAAATCAGTATGTATATGTATGTACGGAAAGAAGGCTGAATATTTCCGATAAATTTTTGTATAATATCATGAGCTGTAGGTATCTAAACATTGCTTGCGTTAATGGAATTTCAGTTGTTTTCATTAAAAGGATTAATTTTTTAATTAATTTTTAAGTATCAAATATACATTTTTTTAATATTTTAATTTAAGAGGATGAAAACACTTAATACTTCATTGTCCCTCAATTGTTTTCATCATTTATTCGTTCGTTAAAAACGTCCATAAATCTGGATTTAATTTGATAGGATCCACCTTCGTTTAACATAAATAAATCTGACGAAACGCTAAAACTTGTGTGGTGTAAATATGATTTTAAATGAAATTCTTACTGCCCATGAATCAATACATCCAATAAAATATACAAAATAATAATAATATTACATGTTTATTTCTTGCGTAGCTAGTACACAGAGATTTAGCAGCGAGGAATATACTACTGGCTGCAGAGAAAGTTTGTAAAGTTTCCGATTTTGGTTTGACAAGGGACGTTTACGAGGACGACGCATATTTGAAAAAGAGCAAAGGACGGGGTAAGTAAAATTAGTATTATTCACAATAATCCAATAAAAAATAAACTTATTATATATATAGTAAATTATAACAAACGTTACATACACATAGGAATGTTATCGTTCGTCTTTACTCGAGTTCAAACCCTAAATAATAAAACACTGAACCTAAACGAATAATTATCTTGCGGAACCTCCACATCTGCAGATTAATTATTTTGAGATAAAATGACAAGTAAAAGGAAAGGAAGGAAATGCATGTTAACGACAACACTTACTTATGATCCGAAGCATGTTTATCACGCACTCTGATGGACAAGAATGTTTCGGATCATAAAGTTAAGATGTGAAAGACAACACTCACGAAGTGGTCCAGGTTTTAATCATGATAGAGCAGTGTAAAACAGAACCATTAAGTAAATGCTTGTATATCCGAAAGCTTGTCAATTTAGAAAAAAAAATTATTGAAAGTGTACGCAAACCTAATTCTGGCACTAATAAGGAAATACGCCAATGCAACGCCGCATTCAATCACCTAGCAATTAGCAGCATCAGTATTGTATTTATTTTGTATTCATTGTCCATGTATTGTTATTAGATTAAGCGTGATGCAAGGTGTTTATGTAAAAGTAGTTCTTTTAACGTGAAAACCTTGTATATGAACTAATGTAGTAATGTATTAGTAATTGGAGTAGGTCAGCAGGTACGTCACTATAGAACAGTTATTCTTATAATGTAAAATGACCATATCACTGCTGTAAAGGACAAAATCCTCAAAATAGTTCCCGCGAATGGCATGGATCATTAGCTCTTCTCGTGTGACATACTAAAAAAGAAGAAACAGTCGCTTTATCCTTATCTTTTGCAATAAGTGCAAGCCTTGCTTTAAGCTGATTTTCATCTGCGAGTGGATTTGTATCAATGGTTTTGACAGAAAAGCGCTACGAAACTTATTTTTTCCACAGGGTATTGTTTACACACAAATGTTTCTTCACGCGGGACGGAACTTTCACAATCATTACTATTGGTGTGACGCAAATCCGTACGTCGTACATCCTTCTCAATTTCAAGAACGATCTTCAATAAAAGTGTGGTGCGTCCAAACGTTATATGTAGTAGTAAATTTTTTTTGTTTATCTTACGCATTCGATAACCAGTGCTGCTTACATTCTCCACCGATATAGTAGCAGTTCGCTATTCGGATTATAAATTGTTTTGGTTTTATTAAAAACGAATTTTTTCCATAACCACGGTGGTGAACTTACTATATGATTCCTTATAACATCTAGTCTTTGCTCTCCAAAGCTTTGTACTTATTTCTATTACACCCTGTATAGTTAAGAAATTAAAATCGAAAGCATTTATTTAATCATACTTCAGATTTGTAAACTTAACAATCTCGCAACACTGGTACGGTCATACTCGTTTAGCTTGTTACAGATTGCACTTTCACTTTGGGACATCTGCTCCGAAATTCCGATACGTTACCTTCTGTAGTTTTTTTTATGTTTTCGTGGAAGAAGGGAAATCTTCAAAAGACACCCAGCCATCCGTCCTGCTGAGTAGTCTCAGGCCGTTCTAGGACCAACTAGGGCCCCCTTCAGTCGGCCTTCTGTAGTGCAAGTTGTTGGTTTAGGCATGCACGAGGCGGATTGGCGGCGGGCCGGCCCAGTTTCTTCATATTTTTGTTCTTAAGTTATATTTGTTTTTTTTTTAATAAAATGTGGATTTGAGGGGCGATAAATTTGGTTATCTATGTTTCTAAAACAAAACATACCATTAATCTATTTATCAACTCATTGTATCTTACTATTAATTTTTAGGTCGTTATTTTGTTTGCCACAGAACCAATTGTGACATAAGTATATTGATAACAATCCAGCTGTGAAGGGTATGTAATTTAATCTTTGTTATTCCTTATAGGTAATCTTTTTTACAGTTCCTGTAAAATGGATGGCCCCCGAGTCATTGTCCGATCAAATTTATACCAACAAATCCGACGTTTGGAGTTTTGGTGTACTCGTGTGGGAATTAGTGACTTTAGGTGCATCGCCATATCCTGGAATAGCAATTCAGTCTCTATTTCATCTCCTACGTTCAGGATACCGCATGGAAAGGCCAGAAAATTGTTCAGTGGAATTGTAACGTTCAAGTTTTGATAAGTATGACAACTAGAATTGACGAGTTTAATTTCAGATACCAAATAATGAGAAATTGCTGGGAAGCTGACCCGGAGAAACGTCTTACATTCCATGAACTAGCAGAAAAATTTGAAAAAATGTTATCTGAGGAAGTCCAGTACTTGGATGTTTCAGGAAATGCAGTTTATAATAGAGGTTATTTTTTAAATCAGCAGGATATTTCACAGCATGGTAAGTTCTTGCTTATTGTAATGTTTGTGGGTTTAACAAAATTGACTTCTAAGACTGATAACGACAAAAACTATTTATTTACACTAATTATTAAAGAACTTAAAAACACTATTAAATTATTACTAAACTTAGGTTATGAATTATTCTATTTATTTACACTACTGTTGATATATCACTATTCATTGCGCTATTTATTTCACTTCTATCACTGTCAATTTATTTCTGGATTCACTTCCGCAACGGTCAATCTATTATTTTTTCTCTCGGCGATCGTCTCTTCCTTTAAATACTCTTTTATTTACTTTCGGGAACCTTCTGGAAACATCCGGATAGTTTATTTTTTCATTGGACTGTTGAACTGTCTTCCCAGAACGCAGGTACGACACACACATTTACAAATACGGTGCACATGAAGAAAGGCGCCCGCGGCTAGTCGGCGAATCGATAAGCCGTCCACGCCCACGTGTGCCCGATCGCACACAAACACACTCTTGCTCGCTACATTACCATGGATCTATCAACCGAGATTAAGTAGCTGCTAAAACAAATTTCTATATTGGAAATTATGCGACTTTTACTATCTTAAAAGATTTGGGAATAATATCTAATGTCAGTCGGTACAAAAATTTGAAAATCTAAACAATGCTGCCTCTAGGTGACTCCAGAGGCGTAGTGAAAACAAACCATTTTTGTTACCACGTGCACTAACTTTTGGATTTTCTAAGAACTTAGTGAACGACCCTTGTAATATTAATTGAATGTTGCTATCGATAAATTTAGATTTTTCTGAAAATAAAAATTTTATGTGGATGGACTCTTCAAAGTATTTTGCGGAAAAATCTATTCCCTGTTTAGTTTTTAACATTAACTGAGTTTCACAATCACAATTAACCCTTCTACCGAAGAAAATTAGTTATTAAAATTAAACTCAGAAGTGCCTTAGTTTACGGAAATGTTATAAACAATACTCTTTTTCAGATCATGAAGACGAAATAGTTACTGCACCTATTGAAAAAAATACTTCTGATCCTGTAAATTATTTAGAAAGGATTCAGCAGTACATTAAATGTGGCGAATCTAATAAGCTTGATGTTAATTTAGATCCCTCAGCTTTTGCGGAAACGGAATTGGAACCCCTTAAAAACGATCAACCTAATCAAGGCTACGAAACCCCAGTAAAAGTTTCCAACAAAATGTCGAATCTTCAAACTCCTACTAATGGATATCCACGACATGGATACACTGATATGAATTTGATCAAAAAGGTCTGAGCTAATGAAGAATAGCTTACAGTAATAAATAACAATTAATAGCTATTGAAGAACAGATACATATTATATTATTAAATATTGTACCATTTATTATTTATTCTATGTTTTCGCATCAGCCATTAATTATTTTTGGAGATAGTGATAATTTTCTGTCAAACACCATAGCCTTCTTCTAAAATTGTAAACTGAAGGTTATTTGCAATATTGTCTAGTCGGTAGAAAATTTTCCCAACATACATTTGTTACTAGACGGGAGCTATTCCTTGTTGTATCCAGGAAAAACTCGTTACCGGAAAAGAGCTGTTCCTTCTTGTAGCTGGGAAAAAGTTAGGATTTTTACGTTTTCTGATTGATTATGTTAATGATTTGGAAAACATGTCCTTCATTTTTAAGACAAAAGTTAGTTATTTGACAAGCGATTTCCCAGTTATAAACTGAACACGAATGTTTCTAATTTTGAAGTAACCTCTATCTAAATTCCAGTTGTTATATGCAAAAATTGCAAATGTGTGTTAAAATGTCAAAGTAAGTGTCCATTACTAAATTATAGAAGGCAGTATTTTGCTTATATTTGGTCATTCATAAACTGTTCCCTGAAGGTTCGCCTATAAATGCAACAATCAGTTTTTGTAATTTTAAAAGTATACTTCGTTTAGATTCTCTAGCTATGTGACCTTTAGTTTGATCGGCGCAAAGTAGAAAAGAACAGCACTAGGCCAGAAAAGAAAGGAGACAACTCTCGGCCAAACTCTTAACCGATGAGGAGCGTATAATGTGTACAGTACTGCACGGAAAAATTGACCATTTTCTCAACTAAAATTGCATTGGTCGAATGTGCTGTTATTGATACCAATTACTACTAAAAATATCAATGAGATGTTTGTTTATATTTGAAGATATATGAAAGGTTTTAACGCTTGTTTTCGACACGCACTGCTATTCATGATTGAATAATACTTTTGGCAAGTACTGTACGAATAAGTATGTTTAATGAACAAGGGTCGAGAGTAGAATGAGATTTTTTTTCCTACCTCCGATTTTGCCAATTCGCATCCAAGACATTGGAAGGGGCACATCACTAGAGAAAGTAAAAGAAGTATACCTTGATCACCGCAATTACAGACTACTTGATTTGTGCGTTCAAACATGTAAGTATTCTCTCTCCTCGAATTCTTTGAGGAAACAACATACATAATTGAACACTTTCTGAATGTGGAAAGTATTAATTTAAGATACGACCAGCATAGATGTACACATATATGCGAAAAATGAGACGACATACTATTAAAAACAAATTAGGAAGAATCCCTCTTATATTTGTCAATTTAAAACAATAAGGAAAGTACGTAGTCAGTCTAATAAATACGCGAACTGAAATTGTATGTAAGTTTACCATTAAAACCTTTTTGAAGACTTATACAACGTTCTTTTCTTTATTGAAGTTTAGAATGGTGTTTGTTTTATAGGGGCCGTTTATGTCACCCTGTGTTTGCCAATTTTTGGATTCCCCTGCGCCCCCTTAACACGTTTTGTAACACAGGTCTTCTACCTCCTTCCCACTTATCACACATCACGCTGTCATATGTACGTTTTTGAACTGAAAATTTCTTGAGGCGCGTTTATTGCTAAGGAGTAAACGTATGTAAACCATAACCGTGACACTAAATCGGATTTACTCGAGTCCACTCGACACCAAGCGCATTCGAATTAATAACGAACTAAGGTAAAAGGCGCAGTTTCTGACACTCTAAGAGTGACAGCTGAAATTATATTACGATAACTAAAATAATATTTAATTAGAATAAATAANTCAACAAAATACCTATTTGTTTTGTTTACTATTTACCCTACTAATCTCCGTTCCAGTTGTTCGTTTTTAATGGTAATTTAATTCATATTGCAGGCCATTTTTTATTGCTGAAGGCCTCATAATTTCTAGGAAGTATTTTATTTTATTGTATTGGCTGAATAAATAACTCGTAATCAGGTAAAATTTATTGTATTGATAGATTTCAATGTAATTAAAACATTATAGTTCTTAGAAGCGGCGCTCACACACGCTAATGTATATTGTTTCAACCTTAATGTAGTATCACCGGCTTCGAAGAAACATGATTAGTCTGAACATCAATTTGTTTGATTAGTACACCACATTTAATATGTTCTTTCCAAAATTTTGCGTAAAATAGAATGCAGATGCGTTGTTCAGTGTTATATTGACCAGAGCCGGGCAAACTTATACTTCGCAGGAGCCGCTACATGAGGTTAGTTTGAGTCACTCCATACCCTTCAATGAGAACGAGAGAGTAAGCAGTAATGAATAATTTTGTTTTGTCTTTTTCTTCTCCCTTCCTCTCCCATATCAAGCCCCTTCATCCCGTAGACGAGCGAAGCCACTCTCGCAACTTAAATAATACCTACGAAAATTTTCGTTACTACGTTCGCAAAAGTATTGGGTTTGGCTTTGGACAAAATGGGAGGGATAAGAAAAGGAAAGAATCATCTCACTCGCATTCGCAGGATCAATGAGGAGCTACATGGTTAACCTTGAGGAGCACTCGGGAGTCAAAAGAGCCGAGTTTGCCCGGCTCTGATCTAGACTCCTAAACATGTCAGTGTTACGATAACTTAATAGGTGAGCTATTTTCAGATAAAATAATAGTGACCTACAAAAATACTAGTATTGCGTAACCTACAGAAACTGCATTTTTAGATTGCATAACATATAATAGATTAATATGTAACTATACATTCAATAGCAAATGAACATTTAACGGATAACAGCATCACTATTTTCTGAGATCCAGTCCAAGAATGATGTTACCCTTGAAAAGGCGTTTGGTTCTCCAGCGTCACATCCATTATCACCTATAAATGAAGTTACCCCAACCTGTAACAGACACAAGAAAGAATAGAAATATTGTTGCATGTCAATGATTTTCAGGTTGATTTCACAATATAATTATAATTGTTTATTTTGTAATTCATAATACTTCACTCTCCTATCCTCTGGTCATAAACGTACACTCATTTTTATTGTTAGTGGTTGACTTTATGTAAACATCACATTACCTTGAGAAACCCTAGGCTACTCCAATACCCTTCTCCATCCTGCCGGCGTGACGTAATATGTGAACGGCTCCTAAGGGTCGAGTGCGAAGATGTATCTTCACAGTTCTAAATTAACATTTCGATTGAAAATATTCAACGAGCCAGAGAACAGATAATAAAATTAAACAAGTTGTACAACAATTTAATTATTGATATATNTAAATAAATATCACACATTTACAAATAAGAGGAGCATAAATAGATAAGTATATTATAAAACATTTTTCAATGAAAGCCACTTATTATCAGCCACTGATACGTTCTTTCCGCTATTTGATCATGATACTAATAGTCATACTTATCATAAGAAGCAAACCCAGCCTTTATATAATACAATCATAAGTAGTTTCTGCTTAGCTCTCAACCTTTATTTTTTTAGCTCTTAATCTTTACTATAACCTTAAATTATTCATACACAAACATACAAAAACATTACACCACAAATAATATAGGCCCTGTGCTACCTAATACATTATTCCCAAATTATTCGGTTTTATCCTGATTCTCTTTATTCCTTCCAAAAATTTCATTGACCTATTCAATCACACTGTCAAATTTTTCTATTTTTCTTTTCAATTTCTATTCTTCCTCCAAACAACATTTTTATTTTGCCCCTTGCTTTACTCAGCCAACTTCTTTCATACTTTTACTTTTTTAATCCATAATCTTCACTCAATAAATTACGTATTATTCTTTATTGTCCCTTTAGTATCTGTCTGTAATTTAATTATCTAAAGTAAATTGATAAATTAGTCCAAAGAAGGTTTAGAAAAATTTTTTATTGAGTGGGAAGCAAAACAGACACCAATATCTAAAAGGACGCTTCAATTTACGGACACGTGACAAGTAAAAGTCAACAACGAAAATATCTTCCAAACGTAGCATTCGGAATTAAATAAAACAAGCACATACAATGAATATTCTTAATGAGGACCATAGGGGCAAAATGCGACAAAATTAGACCAGTTTTTCCCATGAAATTATTAAAAATCGGGGAGCACAATCCAATACTTTAATCTTCTCCTCTCTATTTCTTCTAATGCATTCATATTTTGGTTTAATATTTTTAAACAAATATATATTTACCAATTTTCCCTTGATAACAAGAGGTCCGCCAGAATCTCCGAAGCAAATCCCTTTATTGCCCGATCCTCCAGTACAAATCATTGAGTCTGTAATGTCCGCTAGTGTTGCATTACACACGTCGTTTTCTATAATGGGAACTTTGACATATTGCAACACATGACTAATATCGGTAGCGGATGTAGTATTGTATCCCCAACCGCTTGTTATTGCCTCAGACCCCACGAAATCATTGTCAGCATCATCTCTAGTAGGAAGTGCAATCAGCTGAACGTACCCTATGAAAAATTCAATTACAAAATTCATAGACACTTACTTACGTCTATAGTGAGTAGAATAGGTCCAAAAAAATGTTAAATACGAAAATTAAATATGTAAGTATTAATTAATTTAAATAAAGCCAATTGGATTGCCGAATTTTTACGCTAATTAATAGAATCTCCAAATGCAACAGTTGGTTCGATGATTTAAATACAGTCGACTTTCGTTAATTCAAACCTGCAATAATTCGAACCTTTCTATAATTCAAAGTTATCACGAGTTTCCTACAAAATCTCTTTAGATTTCGAACTATATCAATACATTTTTATGCCCTTCGTAATTCGAACGAAAAAATCATTGCTACGTAACAAAACGACGCGCTAATTCGAACTCATCGGCGTCAAACACTCGACAATTCAAGGTTACAGAGAGAAAGGGACAGAAAGATTGTTAACTACATACATTTTGAGGCAAGGTCAAACTTGAATCTTCGTATCATCGAGCCTTTGTTTTTGTTATGATCAGTTTGGCACACACTTCCGCTCGAATTGGTTTGTTTAGTTATGTTTCAGTTACTGTTACTCTTTCGTTGTATACAGATTAAAAGTTAGAAAGATTAAATTTCGAACCATTTGATATTTCAAATACTCGATAATTCGTAATATTTTAAGTCTTTCGAGTTTCGAATTATCGAGAGTCGACTGTATGCAATTATGAAAAGCAAAGAAAACGAATAACATTGATAAGCAATTAAACAGACGAATTAAAGTAACAATAAATACTCCTTCGCTACTTAATAACTAATACTCGACTCGGTTAGTCATTGATCTGCCGCCACGTTCTATCGATCGGTACCACATTCGTGCAAGCATTCTGTCTACTTTTTTCCATCTACACTCTCGCTCTCGTACTCGCTGTTTCCTTTTACCCTTACTCTAACAATTTCTTTATCTGTCTTTCGTACAAATATTCCCACATTCGGCCATTCTGTTGTTGATATTTGTGACCTAGTAACTACCTTTCGTCATAGTTACTGTTATCACTTCTCGTAGCTTAATGGATAGAGCATTGGTCCCTGCTTCAATTTCCGGCGCGTGTAACAGTTGTAACAATTTTTCTAATTAGTTCAAAGTAATTTGTAGTAGATAAAATCAAGTGAGTTTTCTCACTAATATTAAATTAATGATGTTTTGTAATTAATCATAAGAGGTAGTTGATTAAGATCTAAGATAATGAAAATTATCAGTGGAGATAGTTACGATTGAGTTTGGCTGGTGTTGGAAGATAGACGATGCCTAAATCATTCTCCAGTGTTTCATTATTAAACTCTTCATGTACTTTAAACGTGGAGGTTCGAATGCGTTGCTGGGTAGTTTCACGAAAAGTTATGTTATGCGCCCCCAGAACTACTACCACCGATACAAGTCTGATAGAAAAAGAAAAATACAAATAAAATGAAGATAACCTTCAAGAACGAATATCTTACTCGTTCACCAAACAGTGCGCAGCAGTTAACACGTATCTTCTGGTAATAAGAGATCCTCCACAGAAACCGCTTGTTCCATTGAAAATAAGACTCAAAGCGGCCTAAACAAATAAAAGATTGTAGATCATCACATGACCGCTTTGACTGTAGCGAACTTTCAAATCTAAATTTCAACCAAATCCCCTTAAATTTCGTCTCCTAAATCATTTACATCCCTCCCAGAATTTCACCGTCACCGTCAACCGTGTTTGGTAAGTTAAAATTTATAAGTGAATAACCTATGACGTGAAAAAAAATATATCACCAACAGAACAGTGAAAAAAGTTTTGAAGCAAACCCGTGAATTTATTCATTTTAAGTAAATGCACAGTGTTGTTTAGTTACACCTGAAGTAGTTGATCGAACGTCAAATATTCTTAATGCTTACCTGGTATGGTAAAGAGTTTGGTGCAGCTTCACTCCCTCCCACGATCCTTACATCTTCAGAGGATGCAAGCTGATGGAGGCTTGTGGAATCTTTACTATGAGCAGGTATGATTTTATACCAATCCCTGTCAGCCTGCACCTGCAAAAATACAATTATAATTGTTCTAGACTTTCAAACTGATTTCACAGCCTCACCGCAACTAAGGAAAATATAAGGAAAATTAAGACAATTTCCTTCATTTTTGCTTGTGAGATAAATACTACATAGACCCTGGTAGAAACTCGGTTTATAAAGATATCTTCAAAGTACTTCTGCTGATAAAAATCATTTCACGTTTTTTGTGCAACCTGCATCGATATGATAAGCGGTATTTTGTCAAATATTTTAGATAAACGTGCTGCTAAAAAAAATCCAAGAAGGTACTGTAAGGTGCTTAAAGTTATAAAATTATAAATTTGGTGTGATTTATCAGTACGAAAAGAAAAGAATTTGCACGGGACTTTTAGGTCGAATGCACGGAAAGAAAAAGCAATCCACGCTATATGAGAACCCCTTTAAAAAAGTACAAATAAACAAACGGGACTTTCAAAAAACAAAGAAATACATTTTCATTGGCAAATTAATCTGTTTACTAAAATTCGACTAAATTTCAATTTAAATTACGGTAGTGAGTCTGTTATTCTTTCGAGTATTAGATGCACCAAGATTAGGAACCTAGTTGGCTTCCTCAGGAAGTTTTGTTCAGTTAATTGGTCACAGTTGATATCTGGTACACCGGGTAAACGAATAGGGACCTGGTGCGGCTTCTCTAGGAAAATTTGCTCAAATAATTAGATTATTGGTCAGTGCCGATGTTTAGTGTACCTATAGGTCAATTTTGCTTAATCGCTTTGTTTCATTTAAAAAATTTGTTTTTTATATTTATTCTATACTTCTTCCTCTTTTTATTGTTCCGCTAGTTAAGTATCTACTAAAATTTATTTTAAAAAATTAAAACGTACAAAATTTTCATCGTCAATTTAACTTAACCAATAATTCATGTCATTTAATTAAAACTACTGTAGCGAGCACGAGCATGTTTGTGTGCAATCGGGCATACGTGTGTGTGAGCGGCTAATCGATTCGTCGACTAGCCGCGGGCGCCTTTCTTCATGTGCGCCGTATTTGTAAATGTGTGTGTCGTACCTGCGTTCTGGGAAAGCAGTTAAACAGTTTAAAGAAAAAGAAACTTTCCGGACTGCTCGAGAAGGTTCTCGAAAGGAAGTAGGGAAGAGACTATCGCCGAAAAGAGTAGAAATAAATTGAGCGTTGCAGAAGTGAATCTAGAAATAAACTGACAGCGCAGTGAATAGTGATATATCAACAGTACTGTAAATAAATAGTGTAATTCATCACTTAAGTTAGTAATAATTTAAAAGTGTTTTTAAGCTCTTTAATAATAATTAGTGTAAATAAATAGTTTTCGTCTTAGAAGTTAATTTTATTAAACCCACGAACATTACAATACTTTTTTCAGGTGCAAATACTTTTTCTTTCTCCGTGCAAAGACAATGTTTTTCCCTTGCAAATGTAACTTTTCCCTGTGAAAACGCTCTTTTTTCCCGTGCAAATAATTATTTCTCTTATAAATATAAAGAAAGTAACGTAAACCACAAAATTTATTGTCAAATATTACTTGAAAGGGATGAATACCGCACAGAAGTCTATGGTGAAAATTTCTTTAAAAAAAAATGCATATGCATACACAGGAAAAGAAGCATTTTCGGCTGAAAAGTGTCTATGACACTTCAATCTGATGCCTTTTGGATTGTAGAATACACCTACTAGATTAGATGAACTGATAAAAACTGTATTACAAGGAGTGAACTGAAAATTTTTGGGAAATTTGCCTAAGCAATACTAATCAAAGGAACATATTTTTTATCTAAATGATTTGAAAATATATCGTTTATCAATTCAATACTGCTTTAACAAAAAGTGTAATAAGAATTTTATCAATGAAAGTACTTTAAATATAGCTTTATAAGACGAGCTTCTACCAAAATCTATACAGTATCTGTCACAAGCAGAAATGAAGGAAACTGTCCTAATTTTCATCACATGTTCCTTAGTCACGGTAAATTTGGAAGTTTATATCACTTATTTATGAATTAATATTTTGTACTTTTACAGGCTCACGTTGGTAGAGATTGGGCTAAAATTATACCTGCTAGTAAAATAGCTCGCACAAGACTCCATCAGCATGCTTCATCTGAAGATATAAGGATCGCAGGAGGGAATGAAGCTGTACCAAACTCTTTACCGTACCAAGTAAGTAAGCATTCGAAGCATTCGGAAAATTTCATGTTTGAATAAAATTCCTGAATAAGTGCTGTGTGCACTGCATGGTTGATGATCCATACTTTAAACACCCAAATTTACGGACTGGTGCAATTTTAAGGGGGCAAAATTTTAGGCAGAAACATTTGGGGGTTGTGAAATTTGGAGGGAGAATGTAGAAGTTTTAGATGCTTAAGTTTAAGGAGGCTGGGTTAAAATTTAGAAGACGTGAAAGTTCGTCCCTATCAAATTTGCGATAAACAACTAATCCACAATCAATACTTCACTTTTTTTAGGTCGCATTGACACTTTTTTACAAAGGTAATGATACGAGTTTCTGTGGAGGATCTCTTATCACCAGGAGATATGTGTTAACAGCTGGGCATTGTTTGGTGGACGGGTAAGTTACTTAGAATTGTTATCTTCAAATTTTGTTGATTTTATTTTTTTTCCTCAGACTTGTATCATTGGAAGTAATTCTAGGGGCGCATAACATTCAACGAAGAGAACCTACCCAGCAACGCATTTCGACTTCTACATTCAAAATAAATGAAAAGTATAATGATGGAACACTAGAGAATGATGTAGGCGTCGTCTATCTTCCAACACCAGCAAATCTCAACAGTAACTACTTTTATTAATAATGTTCTTAGTCGAAACTTTAATCAACATATCTACGTCTAATAATTGATTGCCAAACTTGTTAAAGTAAAACTTAAATGATCCTATAGGCAACGTTTCTCAATCTTTTCAGGCTTCATCTAGTTTTCTAATCTGTATTTTATATTTGTATAGGTATATATGAGAAATCATGAAGATGTTGAAATATAGGCAACGTAATATAGCTCCTCCGCTAATTTGATTTTCAAGTTTGTCATTTTTTTGGATCTATTCTGTTTATTATAGCTCTGTACCTACCTAAAATTACTGTGATTTATTCAATTTTTCATAGAGTATGTTCAACTGATTTCACTTCCCAGTAAAGCTGACGTTTCCAATAGTTTTGCGGGGTCTAAAGCAAAAGCAAGTGGTTGGGGATACATTGCTACTTCTTCTCACGATATGAGTGATGTATTACGATATATCGACGTTCCCGTTCTAACAAACAAGGTGTGTGCTGAAACGTTATCGGACTTTGTAGACACAATGATTTGTACTGGAGGAGCGGGTAATAAAGGAATTTGCTTTGGAGATTCAGGCGGACCTCTTGTGGTGAATGGAAAACTTGTAAGTATACCTACATACATCAATTGGAAAATCATAGATATAAAAGAAACAGGTACAACTCAGTACACGTGAAAGAAATAAAACTTCTTTGGCGATCTCGGTACCTTTATATCGAATAAGTAATGATTGGTGAAAGAAAGACAGAGTACGTGAATTTCCAGGATTTATGATTTCCAACATATTTTATCTTTAGTCGTCTTAAGGAGCATTACTTTAATACGTTTTTATGAGCCAATGGTCAAATTTTTTTCACTTCCGTTTATTTTTCCAAGTGCTTAAGAAACCGTAAACTATCAATAACTACAAGGAATTAGAATTAATACATAATAATATTCACTCTTAAATAAATATTAATTGTTGTTAAATAAACATTTACTGTAATATAACTGCACAGATATAACCAAAACATTAATTTAGCACTATAGTAAAGTGAATATACAGTATACAATAATATATGAGATGTCGGTCACCAACAGCTCACTGTAATACCGATATGCGCATGCGCGCCTATCTATTCTCATAGCCTATCGCGTCGGGAGACAAAACGTTGCAAAACGTGTCGTTTCATGGCCTTGAGATTTTACTCTCATCGAGCCCAAAGAAGTTTCACTTCAAAAATATTGCTATTCCTTGTTCTATCTGTTACAGGTCGGTATAACTTCGTCCATAAGTAATAATGGTTGTGAAGCTGGGGATCCATCCTCCTATACGAGGGTAACATCATTTTTAAACTGGATTTCAGCAAACAGTGACGCTGTTATTTCTTAAACGTTCCTTAGCCCTTAAAGCAGATATAACAAATAAACGATTTTTGCACTTGATTGGATGTTTATCTATTTATCCAAACATTGGGGGCTTGTGAGAATAAAAATAAATTAATAGTAACTTAACACATCCTCTAATTTGTCTTTCCCCGTTTTCCCCCTAAATTAGCAAAATAAAAAATTCACAGAACTCGCATCTTACACAAGTATCTTAGGCGTATTGAGAATACCAGGCACAGTTTATGGAGTTCTAAATTGTCCAAAAAAGGAATATTTGCTGTTTTAATTTGTCTGATTTGTATCGCCTTTTGTGATTAGAAAATTATGTATCTCTGATGGTGTGAAACTGTCAGAGTAAAATAATTTCAAAATTTCTCTTTTGCTAAAATACAACCAGATGGTACGGTTCAAACAGACAAAGTAACCATAAAAAGGAACGGCCTAATGGAAGAGACTCGTGGTGATTGCCTTATAGAAAACATCTTGAGACCAGTCTCGATCACTCTAAGGATCTAGTTCAATACCGAAAAGTTATTTTTCACAAGACCATAATTTAAGTATATAAGCACAATAGTGACCAAGACTGTAAATCGCTTTTTGCGTAAATTCCGCATTTTTGTAGGAATTTATTCCGAATTTCATTAACTTGCGACGTGGGTCAATTTCGGTGTTTAAAATCTCTAAATGGTTCGTTCTATAATTTCGCGATTCATTTGTAGCGAAAAGCGGATTGATAAAATGGAAAGAATTACAATTTGGGTTTGGATTTCGAAGATCGTTATTCGGTCATTTATGTTCAGGTAGGTCATAATGTATTTTTCAAGGAAATGAAACAAGCGATGTAACAAAACCTAAACGAGCGCAATTATATGCAACACATTGATATTTTATGTGTTTATTTACACTTGTGACCTAATGTAAGAGGCCTGGCAGAGTTTGATCGTCGACCCTGATCGACTGTCAGATCTGTCGCTCAACGATTTTACTTTTCTTGAGATGGATCTCATATGCACACATATGTTTTTATTGGTACCATCCTGCGTATATTTGAATTATAATTTTTCCACAAAACATCTGTCAGCTGCTAGTACGTCATTCAAAGTTTTTTGTGGTGTTTTTTGCTAGTTTTATCCTGATAAATTTTTAGAAAATGTCTCTAGATTAAACTTTGTATTATATAAAATTGTAAGTGCATGACCTCATTTTTAATAATTTATCTGTGTGAAACGAGTCTCAAAACACTTCAGTAGTGCTCACGCACAACTTTTTAACAGCCCACGTGTTGCTTACGAATAATAATAATAAACTAAATCTGTTATTTCATAATAGTGTAATTCAAAAATTAGATTAATTTGGTGATTATTGGTGATGAAAATGATTGGGTAAATGAATGTTATAAATTAGATTGCATGAAATGGAAGAAGAATGTGACTGTTTCTAATTCTACTGATGCGATAAATTCCCTTCATATTAAGTTATTGGTAGTTTAACTTTTTAAATTGAAATTATCAATTTCATCGATGTAGCTGCCTAATTGTTGTCCCATCAGTTTCTCTATACAATGCCTTTTCACGCCCAGGGCCAGCTTCGAATTGCAACCTTCACCGTGGGAAGTTATAGTACCTAATGGGTATGATTTTGTGAATTCCAAATTTTGACATATCTCCACGTTTGAATGTTCCTATAGAATCCAATGCTACAAATTGTGGATGTCTGTGTGTAGATATGTATGTACGTATGTGCTTATGTGCATATAGTCGTATGCGTATGTGCGTATCTATATGCATTCGGAATTACCTTTAGTCTCGGCTTTTTCAAGAACAAAAGATGATACGTTGACACGTTTGATCAATTGCATTCGACGCATAATCACTCAACGTAAAACTGATTAGAATTCCAGCAAAATCGATCTGGCCTTTTTTTGTGGAGCACCAAAAAATTAAATTAAAACACGGATATTAATATGATAAGAAAGTTAAACTGGTAAGTTAGTCGTGTGGAACTCCCAGACACCATTTGTTTAAGAATTGCAGTTGTATTGCCTTTATTGGATTTGCTGAAGGCTAGATGACTATTTAGTTTTAAGGATTCGATGGTTAAAGTTTCGGATTAATTCGTTTAACTGTGGTATTTTTTCTAACAACTTATGCACAATGTAATTTTCCAATAAACGTATTTGAATAATGTTATTCGTTTACTCCTACCTTGGTTAGAAGTAATTCTCTATAAATCGCTAAATAAATGCATATTACTATAGCTTCTGAAATAGAGACAAAAGAACTTTAAAAAACTAGTTAACAGTCATTCTCATCAACGAAGTTATAACAATCAAATTTGTAACTTGAGAAATTTCCTCTAGAAATGTCGGTATTACTTTTTAAATTGAAATTATTATTACATTACCTCAAAAGGCGCTCGGCAGAGCAGCCAAGCTCAATATGGCGGCGCTCATGGCCGGCATGAGCTAACCCTGTAACATTTATATTGTCACTCATTCGTGCAAGTGCATGACAATTACATTTATAGACTGTGAAACTCAAAGCGAAGATGAAATTATTGATAGAATAACTGAAGTTCAAAATGATTCAATGATTTAAATAAATATTATTCTCACTTTTTAACACGCGTCTATCATCTGAATGATTGTATTCATTATGTATTCCGTACTCTCATACGCAGATTGAAATTAAAATTATAGTTGGATATCTTGTCGACTATTGATATCTCATTATCATTCCCATTTTCCAATTATTAAGATAAGATTAAGAATGCGATTTTAATTTTAATAGCCTAAATCGAATAATTGTCCGAAAATTTACAGTTAAATGCCTACAATCCGAAAAGTTTCACTTGCATCGTGGTTTCATAAAACCGTACAATTGTTTTTCTTAAGTTCAATTGTTTCCGGGGAAATTACATTGAAACATTGAAATACTTGTACTAACTTGCTAAAGAAATAGATCCATCGTGTTTTTATACTAAAGTACTGGAAGCAGAGGAAGAAGAAGGTAATACAGATATGGAAATGGAACATTAAATCGAATTTTGAAGAAGAATCGTAATAATGTAATAAGAAATAAGAATTGTTTTGATGAATAAAAAAAGCCATTCTATAACAATTTCTGTTTAGCTAAAAAAATTCCGTTGTAATAAAAATAAAAATTTACCACAATTGAAATACAAACAACAGTAATTTTCGTAAAAACGATTTATCGTAACCTCTAACTTCGCGTAATATGTGTCGATTAGGACTTTTGGGATATCATTTAAAAGCGCAAAAGGAAAGTTCATGTGAAAATCTAGTGTAATGTACTTATTTCCTATATTGCTGTATTATTGCATACAAAAATGAATTAGGCGAAAGTTACAAGGTCAAGCACTTGTATTTTTATATAAATTTTGCCTGGAGACAACAGTACATAGGTTTATCAATACAAAAACTAAAAAAAACGCTATAGATAGTTTGACACGTGTAGCTGGGAGAAAAAATAACAATCTATAACTCAAAAAGAAAAAACTGGCAAATTGCGATGCTTTGGTATGAACTTCGAGATCATGTCTCGAAGATTCTTCCTGTTTTTTTTGACTATATTTTATGTTTCCCTCCAAAATCAGTACCCAAAACGTGTNGAGTTACAAAAAAATATCTATATCCGTAAATTTTCCGTGTCTTTTGTAGTCATAAATAATGGGTAAACTGAAACCTAAAGTCGTTTATTACCGACAAAGTGTAAAGAATAAAATGAGAAGTTATTCCTATAAACATTATCATTAAACATTATTAATTTATAAAAAATAAATTATTAAAAGTCAGTGCTGTTTATTTTTCTCTAGGACTACTCTTCAGTTTGTAATTAGTCGATAGTATTCAATTTGTGTCTATAACTTACCAAACTAAAGTTATCTAATGATAAGTAATAAATATATTTATCCACCAAATCACCGAAGTTTATGACGTCAAATTACTACTCTTCAGTTTGTAATTAGGCGGTAGTATTCAATTTGTGTCTATAACTTACCAAACTAAACTTATCTAATGATAAGTAATATATATATTTGTCCACCAAATCACCGAAGTTTACGACGTCAAATTATTGCTGATCATATTTATTTGATTGAAAAAACACGCGAAATAGGTTTTCCGTTGATAACAAAATTGGATCAGCAGTCGCTGACAGGTCCCCCTTTTCCAAGTTGTAGCAATTATTAAGTCAGTGCTGTTTATTTTTCTCTAAGACTACTCTTCAGTTTGTAATTAGTCGATAGTATTCAAATTGTGTCTATAACTTACCAAACTAAACTTATCTAATGATAAGTAATATATATATTTATCCACCAAATCACCGAAGTTTATGACGTCAAATTATTGCTGATCATATTTATTTGATTGAAAAAACACGCGAAACAGGTTTTCCGTTGATAACAAAAAGCTATAATTTTTACTAAAAAAAGTTTAATGTAAAAGTTGTAGCATTTAAAACCACACAGATTTTAAAAATTCAAAATTGGATCAGCAGTCGCTGACAGGTCCCCCTTTTCCAATGGGCACTCTGGGCAAGTGCCCAGGGCCCCACGATCAACGGAGGCCCCCTATATAGTTCCTGTCAGATCCACCCGCCAACCAAAAGCCGATAATTATTTTAAGAAAATTAATCAATAATTGTTAGAATATTTACTTGCATAATCGCTTTTGCATGCTATAAACGCGAGCATACCTAAATGTAGATGATTCTTCAAACATTTATATATTCTAAAATTTTATTACATTGAATCTCTCTCCAAAGAGAAAAATACAGAATCTGACTACAAGGACTTGTCTCAAAGAATAAGACTTAGAAGTTCGCGCCAGACATTTTTTGATGACTCTATACCGATAATCCAACTGCGTTAAAGTAGAAATACCTTACTTCCCATAATATAAGTGATATCCCAAGCGTGCATCTAAAACAGCGATTGAGTTTGTACAAGGACATTGGTTATTGTTGACATTGTTTTTCGCTTGAAGTTGCAAAGAATTTGCTGCTGTGAAGATGTTGACGAGAAAGAGTTAGAAATAGAATGTCTGTATTTGGCAAACTAATAGTATTCCAGAAGTTTTGATAAAAAACCGAGTTGGAGACGCATTTTCAAATGTAGAAATTGCACTGAGAATCTTTTTAAACATGATGGTAACTAACTGCAGTGGCGAACGCTCCTACCTTAAACGGAAAAGAAGAAAAAGTACCAACCTGAGAATGATATTAGAGTTACTTTTTCGAGTCATATTACAATTGTATATTCATTTATGTGAATATAAAGAAACAAATAACAAATCAAAATGATTCTCTGTCAAAGCTGTAGGAGGCTCGGTAGGCTTATGTGCCCAGGGCCTCCAATAGGTTAAAGACGGCCCTGGTCGCTGGTAATGTTTAGAAAACTGTTAAAAATGGTCAATATTTCAATTGTTAATAATCTTATTAATAGATACGTTTTTTAGATAATATTGTGGGAATTATTAGCTCTTCTTAATACAAACAAATAAAAAAAAGTACAACTTGATCCGAGTCTTAGTTTACGAAATATTCTATTTTGCACTAAAATTTTTAATGTGAATGTTGTGTAGATTTAGCAAAAGATAAAGTAATTTTGTTTAGGGCATTAATTTACGAAAATGATTTGCACAATTACGTTCTTGGAAGAACAGGGCCTTCAACTATGGAATGTCCTTAACAACATTACCTTATCTTTTGCTGAATCTACAGAAAATTCACATTAACCAATCTAATGTTTTTTAGTGCAACATAGAATATTTCGAAAACTATGACTTCGATCAAGTTGTGTTTTACTATTGATATCTCATTATCATTCCCATTTTCCAATTATTAAGATAAGATTAAGAATGCGATTTTAATTTTAATAGCCTCAATCGAATAATTGTCCGAAAATTTACAGTTAAATGCCTACAATCCGAAAAGTTTCACTTGCATCGTGGTTTCATAAAACCGTACAATTGTTTTTCTTAAGTTCAATTGTTTCCGGGGAAATTACATTGAAACATTGAAATACTTGTACTAACTTGCTAAAGAAATAGATCCATCGTGTTTTTATACTAAAGTACTGGAAGCAGAGGAAGAAGAAGGTAATACAGATATGGAAATGGAACATTAAATCGAATTTTGAAGAAGAATCGTAATAATGTAATAAGAAATAAGAATTGTTTTGATGAATAAAAAAAGCCATTCTATAACAATTTCTGTTTAGCTAAAAAAATTCCGTTGTAATAAAAATAAAAATTTACCACAATTGAAATACAAACAACAGTAATTTTCGTAAAAACGATTTATCGTAACCTCTAACTTCGCGTAATATGTGTCGATTAGGACTTTTGGGATATCATTTAAAAGCGCAAAAGGAAAGTTCATGTGAAAATCTAGTGTAATGTACTTATTTCCTATATTGCTGTATTATTGCATACAAAAATGAATTAGGCGAAAGTTACAAGGTCAAGCACTTGTATTTTTATATAAATTTTGCCTGGAGACAACAGTACATAGGTTTATCAATACAAAAACTAAAAAAAACGCTATAGATAGTTTGACACGTGTAGCTGGGAGAAAAAATAACAATCTATAACTCAAAAAGAAANTACATGAGATCCTCTCTGTCAGAAAGCAAACGGAGAATGATATACGCATGTGTACTTATGATGGGATTGATAAAACTTGCGAAATAAAGCGACTAGTTGCGAATAATTCCGACAATATTTCCGCCTTCTTCTTCACATTCCCTTTACCCTGCTTACTAATATTTTGCCCCTGTATATCTATTCCTACAGTTATACTGTCTTTAATTATGTTGATTTAAGCCATATATAATAATTCCACTAAAAGCAAAATTTAAAGTGCAAAGAATTCTGAATTTCTATTTATATATATTATATCTTGGGCATTGTTAGCAATTAAATATTCAATTTTCACACAAGAGAAAACAGAACCGCTACTGTTCAAGGAGTTTACAAATTTAAAAAAGTTTGCACTAAAGATGTCCTGGTTCGGGTCGAAAGGCCATCGCCAATTGGAGTTGCTTCCTAACGTTTCGCTAGCAGGAGTGAATGCCTCTTCTGACATCCTTTGTTCTGCGGCGCGCAATCTCGCTAACTCAGTTCACAGTGCCGGGTATGTTACCTAGCTTCACCATATGCCACAGTCAAGACTTGGAATGCGTACGCGCACTTAATTTTGTTTTTCACATACAATTTGGTATAGATTCGTTGATCCATTTTTTAGAACAGACAAAAATCGAAAGTGAGCCAAAACACGTGAAAGCAAAGCAGCTGTCAAAAATTAACTGAACATTCAAATTAGTACAACTTGTCGGTATAATTGAGAGGTATGAGTACCAATATAACGCCACAAAAGAATCAAAAATTGACCATACGTAACTCACGGAAACTTAAAATTTGCGATACTTTTTGAACAAAGTATGAGCTGTTTCTGCTAAGAACCTGCGAATTCAGCGTGCAGATGGCGTATGTTTGCTGCAGTAAATTATGCCTGAGTTGGTGAGTTAACGCGCTAAATTTCACTGAGTTACCCATTCTTAATGTGAACGAAGTAACTCCAACTGACGACGACCAATAGACCCGAATCAAGACACCATCACTTCACTAAATGACCGCAAAAGCCTTTACAAGCCTTATTGGCTATTTACTTATTGAATTGTTTATCCATTATGGGTACAACATCAAGTGATGTTTGAGAAAGAAATCTCTCTTCCTTCAGCATACCTACCATAATTGAACTGAGAGTTGTGCATTTTAAATAGTTTAGGATAAATCCTTCTTGTTGACTTATAATAGTAGGTTTCTTAGTATATCATCCTAACTTTTTTTAGCAATATTAATATTGGAATATCTCTAAAAGATATGAGAATGTATCGTTTATCATATCCATGCAGCTTGAACAAAAAACGTCACACGAACTTTATCAACAGAAGTACTTTGAAGATAACTTACATAAAATGGGTTTCAATCAAACTCTGTACAATATCTATGTTACAAGCAAAAATGAAGGAGGTTGTGCTAATCTTCATTACATTATCCGTAGTTACGGTAACAAAGTGCTATAAGTCTAAATTAATTCTGAATTTATTCTCTGTCTTCTTGACAGGCTCACGTAACTAGAGATTGGTCTAAAATTTTACCTGCACGTGAAACAGTTCACAGAGGATTCAGTCAGCTTGCATCCTCTGAAGATACAAGGATCGTGGGAGGAAATGAAGCTGTACCAAACTCCATACCTTACCAAGTAAGTATTTAAATATTTGGAACACTTGACGTTTGAAAAACATTTTGGGTCTATATAACATTGTAAGATTATTTTCGCCTTTTGGGTGGATGATACTTTTCTTTATGTCACACAAAGTTGAATGTCGGATGCCATATAAACTGCTACCGAGTTTGGTAAACGTACAAAACGTCTGGTTGCTCCATGCCGAAGATTTCTTCAGATCATGAGGTTACGGTATAAAGGAACTGCTGTAGCAATGGTATAATTAGAAGTGCACGCCGAAGGTACACGCCGGGTTCACTTCGAAGTATATCGACGGGTGAACACCACGTAGGTTGTTCAACAAATTGGGTATTTTAATAAACAAACGAAATAATAATCCAATTACTGCGATGCAACTCTGTACTACATGATGCATCTCAGTCACTTTGTTACCAATGTCATTAAATGATTCTTCCGATATTCGGACATATATATGAACGTGTAGTTTATTTATAACAAACTTGCTTTTCTCCGCGGCTTCCTTTGCAGAAATTAATATTGTTTCTTCATAAAACCTTTTAACTCCAAATTCACCCTTACAACGTTTTAATTTTATGTAATGTCGCGTGTGTGTGTGTGTGTGTGTGTAGGTGTATTTGTATTGCATTAACTGTGGCAACCTGTGTGTGCATTAAGCTGAATTGTGGCGTACGCTTTAGTTGTGGCAACGCACATTCGGATGCCACAGCAAAAGTTGCCATAAATCGCATATAAGTCTGTTTCGTGTGTGCCGCTTTGAATATACCANAATTTTGTGGTAGGAGAAGTCAATTCTCACGAGGTATACAATTTCGCCGCGCCTGCTGAAAATAGTGTTTTTATTATTATAGGCTGCCTTGAGACTACTTTACGATGCTGGATCAACGAGTTTCTGTGGAGGATCTCTTATCACTACAAGATACGTGCTAACAGCTGCGCATTGTTTGGTAGATAAGTAAGGCAATTTGCTCTTAAATTTATCCTCACAATTTATTGTATTTTACTTTTTTTTATCAGTCTTGTGTCTCTAGAAGTTATTCTGGGTGCACATAAGTTTCGTGAAAATGAAGCTACCCAGCAAAGAATTCCAACTTCTACGTTCAAAGTACATGAACGGTTTAATAAACAAACACTACAGAATGATGTAGGCGTCGTCTATCTTGAAACACCAGCAAAAATCAATCGTAACTATCTCTATTGATAATTTACTTTACTTTAAATATTTAAAAAAAAAACACAGTTATAACTTAAACTAATAGTAAAAACAATCAATAGCCGTCGACTTTATTCAGACTTCTAACTCTCTAATGCCTATTTGTTTTTAGGTAGTGTAGGAGTAGTTGAAGAACTTGAGTCGTAAAGGAGTTGCTTCAATAATTTAATATTTTGAAAATTTTTTGCTCTCTATAAATGTATCTACATATAAATTGAATAATTTGTGTTTGCTTGTTTACGAAACATAAATTAATCTTTACAGGCGATGTTCAAGTGATTGCACTTCCCAGTACAGCCGACGTTTCGAATAGTTTTGCGGGATCTGCAGCAATAGTAAGTGGTTGGGGATATACTTCAACTTCTGCTTCCGATGTCAGTGAAGTATTGCGATATATAAATGTAACCATTCTAACAAACGCCGTGTGTAATGCAACGTTCAAGGACGTTAGAGATTCAAACATTTGTTCTTCAGGAGCAGGCAAAAAAGGGGTTTGTGCTGGAGATTCAGGCGGTCCTCTTGTGGCTAACAGAAAATTGGTAAATATGTATATTAATTTAGGAGTATTAAATCAAGATAGATTTGTATACCCGTGCTGTATTCTTCCTAATCAATATTAACTTTAAGGTCATTCAAGTATTACGTAAGCAGAATTTTAGTAATTTTTAACACCTCTTTTTGTCAGCAAAAGTCAGTAAAGTTCTTTACCACCCCCCCCCCTTCCCTTTATAAACACTGGTAGGTATATATTTTTTAAAATTTGTTTAGGTTTCTTTATTGTTATTCATGAATCTATAAATAAGGAATTTATAAACTACAAAAGAATTTAATTCCAATTTAATATTTATTTACCCTGAATTAAAGGTTTAAATGAAGAAATCAAATATCAAGACTCTACATAAATTTAATAATAAAAGTAGTTAGATGTTAAATTAACGAATGTGTATTTATCACAAAACATTGAAGGTACTTACATATTCAANAATAAGAAAATAAGTAATCTTTTTTTACTCATCCTTAAGAAACTAATTGTCGAATTAGTAAGTAAGCGCGTTGAATTGAAATACTGGATTCAAGAGAAATATACCCTGGCTAGAACGCACGCGGCGCCGAGGCCTCAGCTCGCCTGCATGCTATTGCTTTTTTCTTTGATTAATTTCTTTTTTAATTTCAAATGTATTTACCAAATAATGCCTTTGTTTGATCACATATTACGATTATAAATTTTGCGGTAGGGGAAGTCAACGCTCACGAAGTATACAATTTCGCCGCGCCTGCTGAAAATACTGTTTTTATTATTATAGGCTGCCTTGAGACTATTTTATGATGATGGATCAACGAATTTCTGTGGAGGATCTCTTATCACCAAGAGATACGTGCTAACAGCTGCACATTGTTTGGTAGATAAGTAAGGCAATTTGCTCTTAAATTTATCGTCACAATTTATTACATTTTACTTTTTTTTTATCAGTCTTGTGTCGCTAGAAGTAATTCTGGGTGCACATAAGTTTCGTGAAAATGAAGCTACTCAGCAAAGCATTCCAACATCTACGTTTAAAGTACATGAACGATTTAATAACCAAACCCTAGAGAATGATGTAGGCGTCGTCTATCTTGAAACACCAGCAGAAATAAACCGTAACTACCTCTATTGATAACTTACTTTATCTTAAATATTAATTGCATAAAAAAAAGCCACACTTATAACAAACTAAAAGTTTAAACAATGGGCGGGCGTCGACTTTATTCAGACTTGTAGCTTTATAATGCCTGTTTGTTTCATAGGTAGTATGGGAGAAGTTAACGAATTTGAGTTGAAGCCATCGTAAAGGAGTTGCTTCAATAATTTAATTTTTTGAATATTTTTTGCTCTTTATAAACGTATCTACCTATAACTTGAATGGTTTATGTTGACTTGTTTACCAAACATAAATTAATCTTTACAGGCTATGTTCAAGTGATTGCACTTCCCAGTAGGGCTGACGTTTCGAATAGTTTCGCGGGATCTGCGGCAATAGCAAGTGGTTGGGGATATACTTCTACTTCTGCTTCCGATGTCACTGAAGCATTGCGATATATAAATGTTACCATTCTCACAAAAGCTGCGTGTAGTGTAACGTACAAGGACGTTAGAGATTCAGTCATTTGTTCTTCAGGAGCAGGCAAAAAAGGGCTTTGTGCTGGAGATTCAGGCGGTCCTCTTGCGGCTAACAAAAAATTGGTAAATATGTAATATTAATTTAGAAGTATTAAATCAAGATATATAGTATACCCGTGCTATATTCTTCCTAATCAAGATTTACTTTGAGGCCATTCAAGTATTACGTAAGTAGAATTTTAGTAATTTTTAACACTTCTTTCTGTCAGCGAAAGTCAGTAAAGTTTCTTACCACCCCCCTAACCCCCTACCCTTTGTAAACATTGGTAGGTATATATTTTTGAAAATCTGTTTAGGTTTCTTTATTGTTATTCATGAATCTAGAGATAAGGAATTTATAGACTACAAAAGAATTTAATTCCAATTTAATATTTATTTACCCTGAATTAAAGGTTTAAATGAAGAAATCAAATATCAAGACTCTACATAAATTTAATAATAAAAGTAGTTAGATGTTAAATTAACGAATGTGTATTTATCACAAAACATTGAAGGTACTTACATATTCCTAGTTCTAAATAAGTAGATACATAGTTAGTCGGCATAGCTCCTGGCTAAATAGTATATTACGTAACAAGGGAAGGAAGTGGGCTATTACACAGCACGTGTGAATTACCACCCAAACCGAAGGCGAGGGTGCCAACACGTGGTTTGTTTGTGCGTATAATATTTGTTGTCACATTTATGCAGAATGTCCGTTACTTGGGTTACTAGTTTATGGAAGTGAAACTTCTTAATGTATTGTGTAGAATTCCTAGATTTTATACATTTCCGGTACCATATACACGGTAGGAAAGTCGAAGATCCTGCGGAGGTGTGAGAAAAAAATATTTTACAATTGTTAAGACAGTTAACGAAATTGTAATATTTTAATTACCTGATTAAAAATATAAATAAAATAATTATTAATAAAACTGTTTCCAACAGCCCTGAACGACTAAACTCAAGAAACTGTTACCCCAAGAACACTTTACNTTTTCCTCACTATTATTTCCATTCAGTAGTAAGTTTTCTTCATTTACTTCTTCATTATCATCATTTGGGTCCAAATTTCCGTGGTGTTTTTGTTGTTTCAATGATTTCTCATTCACTTTTGTCTGTTACACTGGCAACTAGTTCGTTGTATTTTGTACATGACGTCGTTTATACGTCTAACTACTTCGTGTGGACCTTCTCAATTCCGTTGTAATTTGGGGCACCTTCCTTTCTTGCGAACTGGGTGAAAAAGTCATACACGATCGCCCTCCTTGAATCCAGAGAAATTCGCTCGATGATCGTAGCGGATCTTCATTCGGTCACTTCCTAATTTTATTATTGTTCTGACGGCTTTGTGGATGGTGTTTAGCCACTACCGTAGTCGAGATATGTAATCGTCCGTGGACAACGGAGAGTCTTCAGATCGCATAAACATCAGATCAGTAGGTAGCCTTGGTTCATTCCCGTATAGTACACAAGAAGTGGCCTGTCAGGTAGTCTCGTCTATAGATGCCCTGTAGGCCAAAAAGAATAAGGGAATGTGGTGATCTCAGTCGGTCTGACGATCGTTCACAAACATCCTCGAATTGTTTGACCATCCCATTAGACCGAGGATGCAACGGAGTTGTTCTAGTTTTCCTTATTCCCATTAATTCACACACTCGTTGGAATATCTTCGGTTCAAAATTTCGGCCCTGATCTGTGTGAATTTCTATAGGAACTCCATTTTGGCTGATCCAGTTATTTATTATTGCCTCCGCTACGGTGGTGGTATCCACTTTGGGGATTACATAGGCTTCTGGCCATTTGCTGAAGTAATCCATCACAACGAGGATGTAAGGGTTGTCACTGTTAGTTCGTGGAAAGTGATAATTGATATCCATGGCTATTTTTTCGAAGGGTATCCCGACATTGTACTGACGCTTTCTAGCGTACTAACATTCACCCAGTAATACCTCTCACGCAGTTTTTCTAAGGTCTTCTTCGCCTGAGAGTGTCAACTTTCAGTACGAGCTTGCAGCCCTTCCATCACTTCTTTTGTCTTCTTCTTGGGTAACATAACCTGGAGTTATTTCTTGGTCTCGCCCGGACTCTCCCAAATTCTTTTAAGAACTCCATTATCCAGTTTCAGGGAATCCAATTGAACCCAATAACATTTCGTCGTAGTGCCTGGGGACTTACGTCCGCCCAAGTTGGCCGAGATTCTTCTCTGTCTTTCCATTTCATGATGGGTGCTAAATAGTCATCGGTTCACTGTTTCTCAATAAACATGGTGTCTTCCCAATTGTCTTGCCTCTCTATGGCGGTGTATAGGCATGGAACTTATTCTAACCCTTTTTGTCTTTCCACAGAAACAATATTTGCAATTTTGTGGGCATGGTTGTTTTGATAGGGCGTCGGCATTTCTATGGTGTTTTTCTGGCCGATGTTCAATTCTGAAATTGTACTCCTGTAAACGCTGTAACCAGTTGACCATTTGTCCTTCAAGATTTCGAAACCGCAGTAACCATTTAAGAGAATAATATATATATATATATATAAAGTGTTCTATCGTCTTTACGTCGGCCAGTCATTCTCGTCGAGTCACACAATAATTCATCTCGGGCTTTGACAGCGTCTTGCTAAAATCCCTGATTACTCTTTCTTTACCGTCCTTAAATTGGGAAAGGAGTCCTCCAATAGCTACATTGCTCGCATCCGTATCGACTACGAATGGTTTTCCAAATTCGGGATAATTCAAAATCGAAGTGTTTGACAAATTATTTTTCAGGGCTTGGAAAGCCTCTTGACAGGTGTTCGTCCAAACAAATGGCACCCCATTCTCAGTAAGTCTGTGCAAGGGGCGGGTCACATCCGCAAACCCCTTCATGAATCTTCTGAAGTTCGAACATTTTCCAAAAAACTCCTCAGTTCATGCTAATTTGTTGATTCCGGCCAGTTGCGAACCGCCACAGTCTTGTCAGGATCTGTACTAACTTCTTCAGTTGATATGACGTGACCTAGGTCACTTCAGTTCTAAATAACGCACACTTCTACGTTAAACTGCCAAAGCCTTTTTCCCGTAGTAAACTCTTTTACTTATCTTCGGGATGTACTGTCCTTATACGTCACTTAATNCCCTATATATCTGTCCCTACAGTTATACTGTCTTTAATGATGTCGATCGCGTCTTCCTTGTATAAATTGAAAAGTAGCAGTGACAGGCATCCTTATCTGAGCCCCTTCCTAGGTATATTTAACGTCTTGTTCCATTTAACATTGTCAAAAGTTTTTTCTAAATCTACAAATCCTATGTACACATTCTTTCCTTTTTGTATTATTTTCTCTATTGTTACCAATAAAGCTAGAATGGCCTCTTACGTTCCTCTATTTCTTCTAAACCCAAATTGATCTTCTTCCCCTAATAGTTCTTCCATCCTTTTATTCCATCCTCCTCTATACAATTCTAGTTAAAATTGTTGACGCATGAGAATTAAGGTAATTATTCTTATTTCATTAATAGACGTAAAACATAACATAGAGGTCTAGCCGAGTTGAAACTGCATAAATTTACATACATCAGTGTACAAGAAAAATTAATAATAGCGAATTAGTTTCTATAACCCCCAAAAGATGAGAGTGAGGTTCTTCGGCATCAGATCGTGTTCAGTTGCTCAACGTTAACCATTAAAAACTAACAATGCCGGAGGAGAATACTTCTCCTTAATACAATAAATGCGAATGTGAGTGTTTAACCGATAATCAAGAAATTTTGTACAGAGATTGTCAGGGGTACAGAAAAGCACATAGGGTACCTTTTAAAAAGAAATTACTCTTATGTAATATGAAGACTTGAAAAACTTTGGCGGATGTTGTAGAACAAACAAAATAGCTCAAACCACAACGTCAAAACACGACACTTGACAAAACAATTGGTATTGAGAAAAAAAAAATGATTGGGTAAATGACATTAGATTGCACGAAATGGAAGAAGAATGTGACTATTTCTAATTCTAATGATGAGCGAAACTCCCTTCATATTAAGTTATTGGTCGTTAAACTTCTTAAATTTAAGTTATCAATTTCATTGATGTAGCTGCTTGTTGTCGCAATTTCTCTATACAATGCCAATTCACGCCCAGGGTCGGCTTCAGATTGCAACCTCGTCTGTTTTTCTTACATTTTTTTTGCAAAGCTTGCTACTTATTTCAAAAATATCCTATGTATTCCTATTAACTTCGCAACTTCACCATGGGAAGTTATAGTAATGGGTCTGATTTTATGAATTCCAAATTTTGACATTTAGCGCCTTTTTAATAAAAGCACTAATAATTTTTGTACCAATAGGAACGTAACACAAAACAAAACACAACACAAATGAAGAATATATACAAAAGTTTAATAAGACTGAACAACACTCAAAAACAACATAAGAACAACAACAAATAATAACAATTTAAAACACTTACGAATTATCAAGAGGTAGACTGGTTACTGGACACTGGTTAATAAGTAGGAAATTTGAAGGGTATTTATACAACAGGATTGTTAGTAAATAGAGGGAGAACATTCTAGAAGGAAAAGTATTAACCGAACATGTACAGACTAGTTGAGATTGAATAGAATAGAATTCGAAGAAAAAGTAAGCGAGGGAAAGCCAGCTATTAATAAGGGTTGTTAAATAGGTATCGAAGACGATGAAATTCTAGGTAAAGATAGCGATAGCGAAACAATAGAATTTAGTTTGAAAAGAAACAAAGGCATGCACAAGATAAGAAGCGAAAGGTTTACAATATTTACACATGTACAAAAATATGAAAAATTAATATACAAAAATATATATCCAAAATTGTACGTTTTNGCCTTTGTTGTTAAATTTGCTCTATTCGGCTGGCATGAAGACTGTTGTTGCGGCACTGGGATACTCGCAGGAAAATCTTTGTTCGCTGCGATAGCGGTTGGTTCTGCTAGCACGTACGCTGGCTTAAGACGGTCAATTGACACCGTCACGTCACGACCTTTGACATTGACCACGAACGTTTTGTCCGCGCGTCGCACCACTGAATATGGACCTTCGTAGGGATTCTGTAATGTCTCCTTCGGGCCACCACGTCGAATAAAAACCTGATCCGTTGTATTGAGGTCCTTGAAGATAAAGGTCTTCTTTTCCCCATGGCGACGTCCTTGCGTTGGTCGCAGCGTTTGTTGGATGGTACGGAGTTCTTTGACAAATTCTGACGCGTTCTCATGAGGATTTGAATCAGGATGCGATCCTAAAAACTCACCAGGAAGTCTTAAGGTTTCTCCGTACAGCATCTCTGCTGTGGTGGCTTGTAGGTCCTCTTTCCAAGCGGAGCGGATTCCTAGCAGAACTGTTGACAACGTACGCGTCCAGGAGTTATTCTGGTGGCACATTATTGCAGCTTTCAGTTGCCTGTGGAGTCGTTCCAGCATGCCATTCGCTGAAGGATGATAGGCCGTTGTACGAAGATGAGACGTACCCAATAAACGGCTTAACTGTTTAAAAAGGTACGACTCGAACTGTCGGCCTTGGTCAGAAGTGATTCTCAAGGGAGTCCCGAACCTGGCGATCCAATTATCATATAAGGCACGTGCGACGGTCGATGCTTCCTGATCCGGGATAGGAACAGCTTCGGGCCATCTGGAAAACCGGTCAACCATCGTAAGGCAACACCTACATCCTTCAGACAACGGCATGACGACTATATCTATGTGGATGTGGTCGAACCTCGAAGATGTCGTCGGGAATGCTCCTACGGGAGCCGATACCTGCCGAGTTATCTTAGAACGCTGGCAAGCAACACAGGAACGGGCCCATTGTCTGACATCTTTCGTTACGGACGGCCAAATATAACGTTGTGTTACAAGTTTGACGGTCGCGTTAACGCCTGGATGAGAGAGGTCATGTACGGAGTGAAATACAGCTTTCCGGAACCCCTTGGTTATGAAAGGACGGGCTGTGCGTAATGAAACATCGCAGAACACGGATATGTCACTACCTGGTATTTGAAGAAGCTTTAACTGAAGTGAAGAATTATTTGCGAGAAACTCTTTCAGTTCCGGGTCCGTTTTCTGTTTTTCTGCAAGCGCTTTGTAATCTAGAAATGTGTGCAGTTCTTCAACACGAGATAAGGCATCCGCAACGATGTTGTCTGCGCCGGATATGTGCCTGACGTCACAGGAAATTTGCGCAATGAAATCCAGATGCCTGACTTGCCGTGGAGAACATTGGTCGTGCTTTTTCATGAACGCGTAGGTTATCGGTTTATGGTCTGTATAAATTGTAAATGGTCGTCCCTCTACCATGTACCGAAAATGTTTAACCGCAAGATAAATGGCCAACAATTCTCGGTCGTAAGCGGCGTAATTTTGCTCGGTCTGACTTAATTTCTTTGAGAAGAAATGCAATGGTTGCCAATGGTCGTCGACGCGTTGCTGCAGGACAGCTCCGATGGCGTAATTCGAGGCGTCTGTGAAAATTGTTAGGGATGAGTTCGGTTTTGGATGGGCCAATAACGTAGCTTGCGAAAGGGCGTCTTTACAAGCTTCGATAGCTCGTGTAGCTACCGGTGTCCACGACACAGGGTGATTCCCTTTTACGTTGCCTTGTAAGAGGTCATTGAGCGGTGCTTGAATTTCTGCTGTCTTCGCAATGAATCTTCGGTAAAAGTTTACCATCCCTAGGAACTGGCGAAGCTTCTTCACGGTCTGTGGGAGCGGGAAGGAACGAATGGCGTCCACCTTATCAGGTAACGGATGCGTACCAGCACCGGAAACTAAGTAGCCAAGAAATTTGACCTCCGGCTGGCCGAATACACATTTGGACGGGTTGATTATTACTCCATATTCCTGAAGTCTCCCGAATAGAGTTCGTAGATGGTCCAGATGTTCCTCCAACGACGTAGACGAAACCAGAATGTCATCGATGTAGGCATAGCAATAGTCTAGGCCT